TTTTGGCTTTATGATCCTCCTTGAAATGAGACAGCAACGGTGTGCAGCGGTCGTGACTGCCAATCATCTATATGAAAACTCAAGCGAGGATGACACGGCTGAGAGTGGAGCGGGAGTCAGATGCAGCCTCACCGCCGGCAATTGCGGCCTTTTCATCAAGAAAAACGCGTCATATAATGAAAACTGCGAGCAAGACTCCTCGGTCTCCGAAGATGAGTAGACGGAGGAGGCACTATGCTCGCACACAAGACTGTTAGATTCGGAACAGGGCCAGTCCTGGACGGCTAAACTGTACCTGTTTGGACCTTATTAGAATTTACTTGACATTCTTCACTAGTGCTTCTACATTCTCATAATGGACCAGTGACATGTAATCCCGATGGATTGGGGTGGTTTTGTGTTCTTCCGAATAGCCAACTTGACGTCTCATGCACCCTGATGAATAGGAGCTCCCGACATTCTCGCATTTGCCATCATACCAGATAACTGCTTGAATGTCCCTGCCATCAGGTCGAAGTAGGTGTCAAAAGACCTAATATTTGGCTGAATTGATGTCTACACCCCCTCAGTGCACAGTATTCACTGATTATTTGGCAAATCTACCTGCAACTATCGATAGTTATAGAGTTTACAGATACTTGGCCATCCGAGAAGGACTGTGTTCCATAGCCTGCATATGTGTCTGGTGGGAGTAGAAGCATCCAGCTGCATATGACAGTGTCTCTTTACGGCACCAAGTTCACTCGGATGATCAGTAATAGTCACAGTGCCAGTACCCCTATCTCAGAGTTCTACCCTGCCAAACTATCAGTATAGATCGTCCATGTGTAGAGTTACATTGCATTTCTGGGATAGTATTGTCTGCACGCCAGTCAGCATCAGCAGTTGGTTCTTGTTAGTGGTTCCTTTCTGCCTATGATTGTTTTTTGTTCCCCGCCAGAATGCGTTTTTCCTTTTATGTTCAGGTCAGTAAAACACGACTTTCCTTCGGCGATTAACGTCTTTGGTGTGAAGGTGCCGTTAGAAGGTCATGAACTGCTGCCAGCATGCTCGAGTGGTAGTGAAATGAAGGTGTGCTTCCGGGAAAGCTACCTCCCTCGAATTAATATTGAGGAAATTGTAACAATAATCCCGGCCTGAATTTGACGTGCGTCCGTCATTTTCATTACTAATTCAGATATTCACTGAATACTCTAACGCTGACCTATCTGCGACAGTGTAAGTAGCTTGCACAGCTGTACTATCGTCGTTACCGTTCGTTTACTCCACATTGTCGCTAACATTGCATTTCCTTCCAGAAATAATCGCCATGCATGCTGGAAAGCCAGTTTAGCCGCAACTGACGCCTGGAACGCTGACTATTGCGCTAAAACGTAATTCCTAACCTTCATGGGCTATTGTTAGTTGCGACAGATAATCGTTAATGCTAACAAGGAAACGGCTCGTCATGAACCTTGTCAATGAAATACTGAATTGCCACTTTTTACTTCATTTTGTAACTCCTTTCGGTGTCGTTTTCACGCCAGCTGAGCATATTCGTGGGACGTTTTATGTACATCTAACTACGCCATTAACAAATGGACCGACTGTGACGCCTACCTTGAGCCAGCTCAATCCTCATTGTTAGTCAGAAACAACATTAACAGGCGAATGGCCATTTGCAGATTTCTTCATTTGATGAATGCCTTCCTCGTGATCCATTAAATGTGACAATGTGGTTGTTTTGGCAAACGAGGACTGGAACAGGGACTGGAACGAAAGTAGACGTCTTTGCTATTCTCTTCCACGGCAGGGGATCCCGTCGGACAGTGTTATTAACCCCGTAGTATCTTGCTAACTCAAGTAGAGAAGAATGCTTTTGAAGTAGCCCAAAATTAACCATAAAACATAAGTAACCAGTTGTCAGTACTGTGTCTAGGCCCGTACTCAGTCCTTTCATGCGTAAATGGATGGTTTTTGTGCAAATGGTTACACAACTGTGCCTGCCCTTTCAAGAAAGGCCGAAACCTCCTTGAGGCCATGCACTCGGATGAATCGTGTATCAACCGTCATATCGAGTTGGACGCCGCGTACAAAAGTTTCACGGATAAAAGGAAGAAACGAGAGCCAATCAAGATAAAATGACGCAGATAGTGGCCGCTCACGGGCACAAATGCCAATGATTATCGACTTTTCAAGTGTACTGCCAGATGTTAACTGTTTTCAGCATATATACTCTCAGTCTGCGTCTGAAGACCACCTGAGAAATCGGCGTCGAAAATTTACGTAAGAAATTTCTTTTTTCCCAAGGAACGCCTTTGAATTCAACTTATGCTTCTTGGGATGCCTACCTTCCAATATATATATATATATATATATATATATATATGAGAAGAAGAGACGATCTCGGGAACCATAGTTGTATTGCCCTGACGTTTCAAAATCAAACAAGATTCCATCGTCGGAGGTGAGTTTTGTACCACGCCTCACAGTATTTATAGGTGGTGATGGTCTCCTTTCAACGGGTTTACCTCTTGTCGGGGGCCGGCGTTCGGGCGCTAGCCGTCATCGCACGTGTTCGCATGGATCTTAGTTCTCGTCCTAGGCTGGTAATCTTCTTTACGACCCCGTGACGGCCTGTGTTCTCACCTGCCGGATAAGTGGCAGTGACGCTGGAACCTTCGTCGGGTCCGTTTCTGTTACTGCGACCGTCCGTTTAATCACCGGCTGGACAAGTGGGGGTCGCGACTGTTGTGACGATCGCACCTTCGCCAGATCCAAGTTGAAGTGCAGCTGCGTTTGTGTCCCCCATGGACCCGGCCGTAATTGGGTTCCTTTCTCCTCGTAACCCGCGTTTGCTCGTCTGTTCTCTGAGCTGCGTCCGGAGGGCCTGGTAGGCTTCGGGAAGCGCTACACAGCGGTTGATGGAGTTCGTGCTGGCGTGCCAGGCCTCAATTGTTTCCCTGGTCACGCGATCATTTCCTCGGCCCAGGATTTCGGCACTCTGGAAAGCGAATGTGTGTCCAGAGTTTGCGCAGTTTTCTGCCACCAGGGTCAACTGGTCCATCCTCCTTACGGCCCTCACGTGTTCTTTAACACGGGTCTGGAGTCGTTTACCGGTCTCTCCAATGTAGTTCATCTCGCAGGAGCTGCATTGGATCCGATAAATCACGTTTGTTGTTTCATCGGGTGGCAGCGGGGTCTTAGGTCTCATGACCAGATGCCGGATTGTTGACTCTTGCCGATGGGCAATGCCGATTCTCAGTGACGTTAGGAGACGGGAGACCGTCTCAGAGACGTCGTCAATGTAAGGAAGGGCTCGCCAGACTTTTGGTCGTTCTGTCACTGGGCTTCGGCTTGGCACAGGCTGCCTGTTGCGTTCTATAAAATTTCGAGGATACCCGTTCGCCATGAAGAGGCACTGAAGGTGGCGTAGTTCCGACCTTTTGTCGTCTGGCTCGCTGCAGTGTGTATCTGCCCTTTTGTATAGTGTGCGTACACAGCTGCGTTTGTGGGACAACGGGTGCTTGCTGTGATAGCTCAGGATTTGGCGCGTATTGGCGGCCTTCCTATATACCGTTGTTTTCAGGTGTCCATTTGGGTTCCGGTGGACCAGTACGTCTAGAAACGGTAGTTCGTTGTTGCTTTCGGCCTCCATTGTGAAATGAATATCAGGCGAAACCGAATTCAGGACATTGTGAAAGGTTTGAACCATCCTCCGCTTGATGATGACAAAGGTATCATCGACATATCGAGCCCAAAATTTTGGCCTGTAGGTCTCGAAGACTACGGTCTCTACCTTTTGAAGAATTGCTTCTGCGATGAAGCCTGAAAGCGGTGATCCCACCGGCGTCCCCTTGGTTTGTTCGTACACCCTCCCGTCGAAGGTAAAGAATGTCTTCAGGCAGAATTTCAGCAGTTGAATGAGATGCGTCCGTTTCACACTTTCGTCTGCCCACCGTGGATGATGGATTTCGGACCAATATTCATACATAAATATTCTCGGTCTGAGCCTGTAGACCTTGAATAAACTGATCAACTTCAAGTTCGTAGTCAATTTCTGAGGAAATTAAAAAACGACAATTAATAAACTTGAGTATCTACCAGAAAACACACAAAGAAAACTGGGAGACCCACTGAGGGGCCGAACCCCTCGCAGCCGCGCCATGCAGATGCAGAATATCGGAGAAACACGCGTGTATGGGTTTTTGGCTAGTACCTGTGCTGCTAGTATGGTATCACCTTACCCTTATTAGTTCAAATATATTTCATAGGAAACCTGCATAAAAATATTCCTTTAAACATTTAGCAAACATTACGACATCTTCGCATTTTATGACTGAAGAAAGGGTGCAATTCTGGTTTTATAAACTGTTCCAATTCCCCCGATAATTTTGAACCAGACCTGCTGTTGCACTTGCGGTCAGGGATTTTAAACCGCAGTCTGCGTATTTTCCGTGTATGGAAAACCATACACTCTATACTATATCAAGCGGTTCAAAAAATTTAGCAATGGGTTTTAGCCATACTGTAAACTTTACAGGCAACATTAGTCAATGCAGAGACACGGCGTTTTATAAACGGACGTCTAACGGTCTCAAAAAATCTCACAATTAGAAATCTTTTTTAAAACAGAATTATACCCACGCAATCCATTATGGGGGTTTAGGTAAATATTTTTCGGACCATTTCTGCCCCCTAGTAAGGGATGCTCGCCCAGATAAATTGTCAAATAGCTGGTCCATTCTAAAATATAAGTTATCTTTTTTCCTATCTTTTTTCCTTTTTTCTGTAGTATTCGCCTTTTACACACCAAATCCGTCAACCATTTGTTTGCGAAATGCCTTTTGCCGATTGGTGCGTTTTCACAACCAGTCGGTGTGGTCGCATTCGTTTTCGCACAGGCGTTGGGCAGTATTCAGCAGTCCAGCGCTTTCTCGGCACACCATTCCAATTCAGTCCTTACCGGGATCACGTATCAAGAGACTTGAAAAGAATAATACTAACGGTTAAAAAAGAACATGCAACCTCTCCTTGACGGTTCTCAGATTGTTCGTAATGTTTTGCTCCCAGTGAATCTCGCAGAACATAGTAGACGGGCTCTGGACTGGTACGCTACAAACATCTACAAGTCGGATGACTTTATCCACGTCCTCTACATTCTCGAACCCAGCTATGCGGCCAACAATTTCGGGCTAACCGCGGGCGGTGGTCAAGTGAAGTCCGGCGAGATCAACGCCATGCTGGCGGAGCACATAGAACTCTCAAAGACACTGGGACACGAGTTTCTGTTGCGAATCCAGGAGCGCGGCCTGCAGGGAAACTATGTGTTGTGTGTGGGAACCCGACCAGGTGAGCAAATCGTCTCCTACGCCAAGGAGAATAATGTGGATCTAATTGTCATGGGAAGCAGAGGAGTGGGGACCCTTCGACGCACGGTGTTTGGCAGCGTCAGCGACTACGTCCTCCATCGCGTTAACGTTCCCTTGGCCGTCGTCCCTCTAAAAACGGTCCCGAAGGAAACGCGACGGTACTCCATGAAGTAACAAACCGCAACTCCCGGGGGTTTTCGAAGCTGATTTAAGTTCTGCACATCGAATTCAACTCCGTCCTCCCTCCGTTCACTCTGAAGATCCAATAAAGAACATCCCCCGCCTTACCCCACTCCTCGTCTAGCAGGAGATTTTTCGATTGACAACTTTTGATGACTTTCGCGCCGCTGCGTAAGGTTGTCACATATACACGGGCCTGTTCGTATGTATACATATGCTTACGAATACAGACAGTTTCTGCCCTTACACTGCTTGCTATTAAACCATTAGGAGTGCGTTCGATCAAGCGCTTGCCCAGTCATCCTTTGTTGATGATGAAATGTAGGTGGAAAATGCAGGTAAATATTCCGTCAGTGGCTCGACAAGCATTTCCAACCATAACAGCAATACGAAAAGCCACCTACGCATGTCGGTATTAAAACTAAGTGTGATTATTATAAGCTGGCGAATAAAACGCCCGCAGGACCACATTAATAAAACCTGTTTGCTGTTTGGAGGTCATCTAGCCCGACTATAAGCATGCATATTCCACATCACATATAATGTTTAATTTGTTGTTGCAGGTGTAATATGGACTCCAACAAACGTTGCACCAGTGGACTACAGTGCAGGGAGGGGTTCTGTATAAATGCTTTAAAACAAAACGAGGCTATATGCAAAAACCTTACAATTTCCCACAAAACATCAAATCCAGCAGAATTAAAATTGACAGACTACTGTCGGACAGTACTCGCGCTGCAGTTAATACTTCTGTAATAAGACAGTCGACTTCATTCAAATCACTTTATGCAAGTTGTGATGCAGCTTCACTGAAATCAAGAATATTTGTAGTTTTGAAGTTACTGCAGTGGAACTGTTTCACGGACAAGGTCTAAGGTATAGTAAAAGAGCTAACTAACTCGCTGTGAGAGGCTTCTGTAAATTCTTGGGAGATATTATAGATTTGCTAAAAGGACGTATAAGAAGACTGCGCTAGCAGTACAATGTTCTGTAGTATTTGTTTTTCAAAATGACAGTTAGTGACAGAGAGTCTATCCAGATTTTGAGAAGACAGCGAGAACATTAGTACGGAATTCGAAATCATACCTGCGACGCTTTGTTTTTTACTGTGGTTCCTGCTTTTAATTTTTCCCATAAAAGACGTCATTTATAAAATATCAATTTAGTAAGTATGAGCACATTAGCCTTTTCTTTCATTACGCATTGGAACAGATGCCAAGCAGATGTTAGACAGTTTTCTAACCCACCTTGAATTGGTTTCTTTTTTGCGTTTAGCCCACCGTCCTCTGCTGTAATCAGTACTGTCGTGGTCTAAAAAGTGTTTCGAAACCCTTCCGACCAAAACGTCTCCTTGGAGAGAAAAAGATATTTCGCGGTTTTGTTTAGCTTTCGGATGTACTATAAAGCACAGTAATGTTCTCAATTTTTCCGCAAGACAAACGTAAGTCGCGTGCGGCATCCGAGTTCTACTATGATCTCTCATTAAACTTCTTATCGGTACTTTACAGACTAGGTTGTTGATAAAACCAAAACCTCCTGATCACTAGTTTTATTTTTATAGGGTAAAATATGAGACCAGTTCCTTAAACAACGACATGTTTCAGGAGCTTGGACATACTTGTGGCGGGTTTTTCAATGCAAACGTCGAAAATGTCGCCCATAGACACGTCTTCAATTCCGCAAATAGCATCGAATCCCTTTGGTCCCTAATCCTAGAAAAATTTCTCGCATCTCCAGTTTTCTCATGCTTCTCTGGTAAAGCTTAGATAAAACTTTGCCAACAGGTACCGAATTCAGTATCCCCTATCTTCTTGTTGCTCCCACGGCATAAAAAATGACCATTAATTTCGTTTCTCCAGCAGAGATTTGATGCTGTGTTGACATTGATAGAAGGCTCCTTCTGCTTCCTTTGTGTCAAAGTCAAGTTGCAGATAAAAAACGTCAGGCAAGATTACAATTCCACCAAGTATTATTTGCGCTTTTACGAAGATTTCATTAAATTTTTATGCAGAAATGCATCTTACCATACTTAAACTCTTTTCAGCAAAAATTCTTCTGCTTCCACCACTTGGCCGCTTTGTAGCGGGACTGTGAGTGACCTTTTAGATAACTCTGTATTACTTATTTACGGGATTGAAACACATTCCCGCCCCTCCTATCAAGCCTTTCCTAAACTAAACGCAAGTTTTAACCAACGAACGAACTGGGGCACGTAGTTTTCATCAGCAAGATACAAATATCCCCATTGTAATTAGTAAGATTGAGAGAATTATGAATTAAGCTGGCTGCCACAGCAAAAAGCATACGCGCACAAAATCTTTACTTTGCTGGAATGACTTAGAACAGTTATGTGCAGAATTCTTGCAGTCTATAACCTAATTATTTGACATTTTTGAAGTCAGCAAACAGTCAACAATAGGGAAGGAAAATGCATGTTATATCCATTGCGAACGCTGGAGAGATTAGTTCATAAATACGGACTTCAAATGGTTAAAAAAACGAAGAGAGTAAACTGGCATTCTTTACTGAAAGCGTTTTCGGGTAAAATGAATAACGACAGCAATTAGCGAATCTTGTGTACTTTGGTTTTTACCAAGTCACAGGTTTGACACAAACAGGGAACTCGAGCGGGCGAGTAACTCACAACACGGCTGTTGGCGTAAAATGGTCGGCAATTTGCGGCTGCGGCATAAACAAATATGTTGGAGCGCTATTTTTAGAAAGCTGCAGGAATGATCTGACGGGGAACTTGTCGGACTGTAAAGTGAGCCTGAAAAAGTACCGATGCTGCTGGAACCAAGGATAAGACTGAGCAGGCTAACTATTGTCATAATTATCCTGTTAGATGAAAAAAACTGTTGCGTTTAAGGGAAAGTAAACTTTAACTTCCTTGGTGACCAAAATCTCATATGCAAATGAACGTTGAACCGGACGGATAATTGATACGTGCAATCGATTTGGCTCTCAGCCATCTCCTACACTCAGGGTGGGATGCGCGATGACAGATGTAAACTTTATGGGTCATTGATTCAGAAGGTCTACTTTTTGGCCTTGTTAATTTAAATGTTTGAACGTAACCGACTGCTGATAGAAAATAAGACAGAAATAATCATTTAGACTCTCCCGTCGTCGTTAGTTACGTTCCTATATCTTTGGCCAGTTATGTCCATGTAGCAGCTTCTAGGGACGTCAAATCGTTCCTCCAAACTTTAAGGGAGAGCTCAATGACAGTCCGTAGTCAATTTGTATTGAGAAGCCTCACATCCATTGACTGAAATTCTCTGGCAGCCTTTCCCTTTCTTTATTTACAAAGGGCAGTCGAAACTGACAGACTTGTTTCTGACGAAAAAACAGCAAGTTGGTTGGCCCCTTGAAAGAGAAGAGGACTGCTTCAAATTGTCCGGCGTTCATCGCAATTCACAGAAAGTAATTAGATCAAACAGTTCCAGTAGGAAGTTTCGATGGAGTGCTTGCTCTTTATGTCTCTTTTGCTGTAAATTTGGAGCTTGTCAAACCAGAGACTCGAAAGAACAAGGTGCTTTTATTGGAAAAAATAACAGTGTTATTGTACTTCATTTGACGTGCGGTTAGATGTGCCTGTTGCCTAGTGTTTGAAGTTGCCTATGCATAGTTGTAAGTCTGCAAACCTTCCTGACTTATGCTTTACCTTATCTTTTAATTGTTCAAAGAGTCTGAATGGTCGAATGACCAAAAACAAATTTATAAAAACAGTTTATAAAGAGAAAACTCCGTCAGTGTAAGGCAGTCTGAAGACAGACATGAACGTCCGAGTCCCCGCATTTGTGTCTGAGGCGCTACTCATTGAGCTATAGAAACTTCCTCACCGACTGAGCGGGCACTTGATGAGGTAAGAGTATTCTTGTTCTCAAATTTTTCAGATAAAAAATGTCACACGCACAGTCTTAGTTCAAATGTTAACGTTACTAATGTCGATGAGAGGACTTATTAATCATCTGCAGTTCGGCCAACAGAGTTATCAACTTCGTAGCCTGCTGTATACCTAAAGTAGCAACGCTGTTAGGGGACACCTTCTGTCACATCATTTAGTGCGCCTTTACATTCGGAATAGAATATTTTGGCAAAATTCACTCCGGCTTATATTCAACTATGTACGCAAAATCTAAATGATTCGGTAATGGCATTTGTTTTACACGTTTGTCATATTAAAACCAGATGCTAACATAGTTGTAGGATAACCTGCCATCTGCCTTTCAAATAAACCAAAATCCATGCAAGAATTGTCAAACTCTGCTGCTTGAAAGAAATTGAGCTGCAAAATTCTGCAGTACTACTTGGCATCTCAGCGCAACTGCCTTTATACTTGGACATCCGCAAAAAAAAGTTGTTGATTTCGTATAAATTTTTTCTACCAGTTTTTCTCAATCGGCGGATTTATCGTCAAAAACAGGTACACTAACATGTCCATATCTTGCTTATTTGCTGTCATCTTTCGGTGATATCTTTGCCTCTTGTCATCAGACACTAATGGCACGTGATTGCGATACAGGATGATTTGGTTCACCCACCAAGCAATACTGAAGTTAACACGGGTATAGAATACTCTTTATATTTGAACCATAAAAGTAGGCTTGGATGGGTACAAGTCTTTCGGGCAAATGGTCGAGATAAACGCAAAACCCTATTTCTGTCATTTTTGAAGGCAGGCATTCGGGATTTCATGTGGGATATATGTAAAAAATCAACTAGAGCTTCAGCTAAAATCATTATTTTTTTGAATAAACGTTATGAATATTCCTAGCGGAATTTACGACTTGCGAAAACGGGCACTAATTCATGTGACTTTGAGGATGTAAGATGAAAATTAAGGAGGAAAAACAGCGTAGAAGGCGAACGATCGGGTGAGAGTCCGACAGTCGGTCTTGACTATGTCCATCGTATGCTCCACAGCATAGTGAGAGGAAGGATAGTGGTTTGCGCGTGAATTTGTGCATATTGATGGTGGATTTACGTTG